GAGTGATGAAGAACAAGGAATTTGCAGTTATCCAAAGCAGAGTCTGAATGCTAGTTTCAGTAGTGCCTTTGGGAAAATGATTGAAGCTTCATGATTTACTTCTGCTAACTTTGCCAGACAGTAATCAGAAAGGTTGTTAGGAGACCCAACCCATCTGCATTTACTGTGACTGGTGTTTTGTCCTGGTACAAGGTATGTGTAGGAAATGATGGCAGTTACTGGCTGGTTGCAGGTCTTCCTCTATGTAGGCAGCTCACTGTGGCACCATGTGAAATACTCTACCCGAACTTTCAAAAAGACTTGGAATTGTGCCACTACATTGATTAAACAACAGCCAGGCATCATAGTACACACCTATAACCCAGCTGCTCAGGAGGTTAAGGCAGGAAGATCATGAATTCAAGATCGCCCTAGGCTACATGGTGAGACTCAATCTCCAAAAAAAAAAGTTGCTATTGGGATTTGGCATCTTGCCAAACTATATGTAGCGCAATTTCTATTCCTCGTTCTTCTTAATCTTCCCATGTGTTACTTCCTAAGTGTAATGGAGACAGGTGTCTGTGTTACAGATTCAGAAAGGCTACATAAATGGTGAGCTTACAACTACCTTCATAATAGTTCAAAGTCAAATGTCTTTCTGAAGTACCATACTGTCTTTCAGGAGGCTAACATTTTATATTTTAGGACATTTACATGACAGCAAACTTATATATGTGGCTTTTCATTTACTAGCTTGGCATTTTGAAGCCCAGAAATACTTTTATGCACATTATGGTGCCCCGGCAAGTGTATTTCTTCTGCTTTCCAGCTCCAATCATTGCAGTCTGAGCTCCAGTTTAAAGATGCAGAAATGAATGAATTAAGGACAAAGCTTCAGAGCAGTGAACGGGTGAATAAACGAGGTGCTCCATCCATTCCCAGTGTTAGGTAAGGCCAGTGCTGGTAGAGGCAGGGGGTGGAGGGGGTGGTGTAATTCAGTGTATGTAACTTAGTAAAAAGTGTGCACGATCCTCTCAGGTTAGTCTGGAACAAAGACCCTGCCACCTGGGCAGAGGTCCTCTTTGCTGAAGGATTGAAAGGTGGTTGGGATGAAGCTGATTGGTTTGAGATGTCACAGCATAAAGGCCTAACTCTGTAGGTACTTCCTTTGAATGAGACTTTTTAAACACAATTTCTCAAAAGAAGAAAAAGCAAGCCAAAGGTGGTGGCACGTGTCTATAATGTCAACATTCTGGGAGGCTGAAGCAAGATTAAAAAAAAAAAAAAAAAAAATAGTATATGTGTACTGGGATGTGACTCAGTGTGGTGGCTACAAAAAATAAATAAATAATTACATATCTGGGAATGTAACTGAGTGGTAGACTACTTGCCTAGCATGCACAGGATCCTGAGTTCAATCCCCAGTACCAAAAATAAAACAAAACAACAGCGATCTGTAAATAAAAAGGTTACAAAAAAAAGAAAAGATGATCTCCAAATTTGGGACATAAGCCAGTCTTCATTTCTAGTGATTTGGACTGGTGATATAGCTCGGCAGCACAGTGCCTACCTGGCAAGCACAAGGTCCTAAGTTCAATACCTGGTACCAACACAAATATTTCTAGTGATTTGGTTAACATAACAGGGTTGGCATATAGCACTGTAATAAGACTACCTATGTAGCATGCACAAGGACCTAGTTTCAGTTCCTCTTTCCAAAAATCTGTTTAACCCAACAGATTTTGCCCTGAGTATTAGTATATTTCAGTACTAGCTGACTATTGGAATATTTTTCCTCAGTTGTTGCTCTGGGACCTTTTCTAATAACCCCTCCTTTGCTCTCAAATGTCCTTAGCTTGTTAATGTTTTTATTCTGTCTTTGGCCATCAGAAAAGTCTGGTACTATAAATAAGAGCCTTGAAATCTGAATAGTATCAGGACATTTTCCTAACATTGAACATTTTTGACCAGGTATGGTAGCACACACCTCTAATCCCAGCACTTGAACATTTCAAGTTCAAGACCAGCCTGGTCTACAAAGTGAGCTCAAGGCCATTGTGAGCTGTATAGCGAGACCCTGTCTCAAAAAGACCAAAACTAAAAATTAAAAAAAAAAACAAAAAAACATTCTGCCTTTGCCCATAATAAGCAGGCTGTGCAATTAAATTCACCATGCCTTGTGTGCTGCAGGGAGTCGGGCTGAGGGTGAGTCCATCCTCATCTCTTCACACATATCTGAAGGGCCTACAGAGAGGGCTAAGACTGCTCTCCCACTTGGAGAGGTTAGCATTGAGAAACTTGCTGTTCTTAACACTTTCTAACAGAGCCTTTTGTAATTGTAACTCTTTGGCTTCAGTCCTTGACTATTAAACATTAGATTGTTCCACGTTGAACAGCTTTTTTGGTGGAATTGGAAATAGCACAAGAATTATGGCCAATGTTTTGGGGAAACTATTGGTAATTTGGTAATTCAGATCAAGATCTCTTGAGTTTTATAGTACTGTCCTGGATAGAGTATGATATATGCATAATACATAAAGCTAAAAACCACATAAACATGAGAAATTAAAAATTTTTGGAAGTTTTGTAACCAAGTAATTCAAGTGATTTTAGCAGAATCATTACTTTGCTTTCACTGTTCACTTTTTTCAGTCCTAGGAAAAACTTTTCTGTGGTTGTAAGACCAGAAGCATGTTCTTCACAATTTGGAAAAACACCGTTTCCTACAAAGGAGTCTTTTAATGCTAATATGTCCTTTCCCAACCCCTGCTGGACAGAACCAGAATGCAAGTCTCTGGCGGGCAGAGAGGGTAAGTCAGTCTGTTAGCACATTGCTATATAACAGACTACACAAACTTGTGGTTTAAAACAAAAGTGACTACTTATTTTCCCCAGTTCTGGGAGTCTGCAGTTTTGAGAGGGCACAGTTAAAACAGCTGACCTCTTCAGGGTCTAGAGTCACTCAAACTTTGTTGAGTCTGAAGGCTCTGGAATGAAACCATGAATTCCTTTCCAGATGGGCCTTTCCATGGTGTCCTTACAACATGATAGATGGCTTCCCTTATTGCCATCAAACCCAGAGAGAGGCAGCCAGACAGAGTGAGGGACTGTGGATTCTTTCTAGAGGGAGACCATCTATCATTCATTCTTACTCTGAGACTATGCTATACCCATTTATCTTGTAATTCAGATACAGTTAATTTTTTCCTACCATTCACCTTTTCAGATCTTGTCACTTCTGAGAAACTATGGTGTACATACATTTTTGGTGCCTAGCAACTGATGATTCTGTGCAGGGTAATATTACAAGAAGACGAGAGCCCAACAGCCTGGATAACAGTTCTAACCTATTACTGACTTATCTGATCTGGGCAAGTCTTTAGCCTCTGCTCTTTGTTTCCCTAAATGTAAAACAGCTAATGATAATGCCTCTTCATAGGATTATTCTAAGGAACAAAACAAGCTGCTATGGGTAAAATCTTGGAGTAGTATCTGGTTCATATTGAGCTCTGTGTAAATGTTAGTGGTTACTATATTCCTCTTGTTGCTTCCTTTTGAAGTAAGGAAAACAGCCTAATTGTCTTTTTTCTTTCTTCATGTAAATTCCTGTTATATGAAGAAAGCAAAAGATCCAAGCTGCTTTGGTTGACCCAAGGTTGAAGGAGTAGAATAGCCCAACCCTGTTTTAAACTTGTTATATATAAGTGTTGCTGATATATCTAGAAACTTGATTCTCATTTTATATTTTATTTAGTTTCTGATAATAAGACCCACAGTCCGAGAGGTAGCAATGTAAAGCAAGAAGAGGTGCAGAAAAACCTTACTGACAGCTGGATGCAGAAATCAAACACTGAAGGTACCAAAATCCCTGCTTTTCCTGCAGCAACCTTCATGGCTCCTATTATCCTCTCAGTGCTCAGCAAAATTGTCTGGGAAACTGGAACTCTGAGAATCCCCACTCCAAGCAGTCCTTCAGGGGTTCCAGGCAAATAGGAGTCTGACTCAAGGAGAAGATGAAGAGGCAGGGTGAGAAGGAATACTGGGGGTTGAATCTAGGGCCTTCACGCTGAGCTCTATATCCCTACCTCTTTTTTTATTTTTTATTTTGAGATAGGATCCTGCTGAGTCTCTTAAGTCACCCAGACTGGCCTCAAATTCACAATCCTGCTTCAGCCTCCCAAGTGCTGGTATTAAAGCTATGTTCTGCTACACCCAGGTTAAACATAAGACTATAAAATGGAAAGGCCAGATGAAGCTTGGTTGCAGGCACCTGTTACCTCAACTGGTCAAGAACTAAAACAAGGGGACCGAGTGAGCCTGCAAGTTCAATGGCAGCCTGGTCAATACAACAGAACCCAGTGGGAAAAAGAAAAAGGAGAGAGTAGATCCATCCCAGAGTCTCCTGGACCCACAGGCACCTTAACAGGACTTAGTGGAAGCTTAACATCCAAAAGAACCTTCAACTTTTCTTCTTGAAGTTATAGAAAAGCTCTCCTGTGTCAGAACCTTCTAGAGTCTCTTTGTCTTCCACAGGTTCCATTTTGATAAACCTATTGCTGAAGCAGCCTTTGATCTCAGGGTCAGGCATAGGTCTTTGCCACCTCCTGAGCAGTTGTTCTGAGGCTTCTACTGGCAATCTCTTGCAGCCAATGGGGCTTGGCAGGTAAGCATGAGACTCCTGGAAAGCTTATTTAGAAAGGAGTTTCCAGGAAGTAAGTCCTTTCCCTTTGTCCCTGCCCACCCTGGGAAGTCTGTGGGATGTGCATGAAGACTGGAAAATTGGTCAAGCTACTTGGGGCCCTGGATCTTATCTATTTTATTTTGTGTATTTCCAGTATTTTGGCTGTGATTTCAGGCTTCAGAACCACAGGTTTTCGAAGTGGGTCATTTTCTCCCTCAGCCCTGAGAGAAGCACAGAACCTGGCATTCACTGGATTGAATCTGATTGCCAGGAATGAAGGCTCATGTGATGGAGACCCAGCAGAGGGAGCCGGAAGGGCCTTTCCACTCTGCCAGCTTCCTGGAGCCATTCATCTCCTCCCCCTCATACAGTTCTTCATTGGCCTACACTGCCAGGCTTTGCAGGAGTTAGCAGTGGCTAAGAGGAATGGGTCATCTGGGGACTCACCAACACATAACTCTTGCATGGGCTCTGGGGCAGAGGCTAGCCCTGAGGACTTAATTTGCAACCTGGAAGGCTTCTCTGTGGCTTCACTTAGTGTTCTTCAGCATCTGGTGTGTCACAGTGGAGCAGTCGTCTCCCTCTTACTGTCTGATGTGGGGACAGATACTGCTGCTAAGGAGGAAAATGGGAGCCTGACTCACAGACAGACTTGTGGAGATATGATCTCAGCCCCCACGGGGGTTGCCGAAGACCAAGGACAGCATCCACTACTGAAGATGCTTCTTCTCCTGTTGACTTTCTCTCCCACAGCAGCAGGTCACCTTCAAGCCACTGTCCCGAGCCAGTGTCTCAAAGTGTTGGTGAAATTAGCTGAAAATGCCTCCTCTGATATCTTGCCCAGGTATAAAGTGGCATAGAACGCATGCTTCTCTGTGGGTTTCCTGTGCACTCTTAAGGTCTAACCCATGGCCCTTACACTTTGCTTACATCTTTTTTTTTTTTTTTTTTTTTTTTTTTTTTTTTTTTTTTTTTTTTTTTTTTTTTTTTTTTTTTTTTTTTGAGACAGGGTCTCACTATGTAGCTTATGCTGGCCTTGAACTATGTAAACCAGGCTGGTCTCAAATTCATGGCAGAGTGTAAGGCCCGTAGGCATATACTACCACTCCTGGCCTTGCCCACATCTTGACTTTATTTCCGTTATTTAGCTCAAACTTGGTCCAGGGAGTTCTAAAGCAATGGAAAGTGAGGCCAGATGTTGGGAGAACCAAGGAAGTGGTTTATTTTGTTTAGTTCAGCCTCTGAATGGCTGATAATCAAGACACACCTGGTAAAGGCTGCTAGCCACTATAGAAGCGTGTCCTGTCCCAGGACAAGGCTGAACCAAGAGGCCTTTGAACCTAAGATGTGGATAAGGAGTTCCCTGAGGCAGAGGGGGCATAGGGTGTGTCTGCAGGGATAGCCTGACTGTTAAGAGTCTGCCTGAGAGTACTGCCCACTCCAGCATGCATCACAGGTTACTGGCTCCTCTTCAGGCTGTAGTAGTACAGTAAACCTAGCTTACAAACTTAGGAACTTAGGAGTTCCTAGGTGGAGAATGCAGAACCATCTGATGGGGAGTAATTATAAATTCCACCAAGTCCACCCTCTTGTGCAGTCAGCCAGGTGTTCCTCCTACACCCAGTAGTTGGGGCAGTGCCACCTGCTGGACATACCTATTCTTCTAATCTGAGCCCAGCATGCTTGTTTCCTAAATTCATGAATGCATCCTTCCCTATGGACATTTCCTGACTGGTTGGGTTCATCCTAATGGTTGTGCTTAGAGTTGGACAGAGCACTGCAGTGTGGTGGGGAAGCAGGGTGAGGCCACTCGCTTTTGGTATTTGTTAATGATCCCAGAAACCATGTTTTTGCCAGTTGGCCTGCAAGATTTTATCCTATTCTTGTTGAGTTTGTCCGTGTGGGTACTGAGAACACAGCTACTTAATGGGTACTTGCTGTAGGCCAGACCCAGGTACCTTGCATTCCCTGGCTCATGTCACACTTGCAGCACTGCTAGAGCACACGAGCTCACTCTTTGAGTGTTTAACAGTATTCATTGAGTCAAGTATATTGAGGTGATGTCAGGGCTCAAAAGCAGGATGTGATGTAATACAAGTAATGAAGAAGCCTGCAGTCTCCACATCCTTGCCTACGCAAGCTTGAAAGCAAGTCATCCTTGTCTTTCTCCTTTTTCCTGGGCTAGGGATTAAATCTAGGGCCTTGTATTTGAGAGCACTCTGCCACAGAGCCACCTCTCTGTGCCCATTTAATGTTCTTATTTTGAGACAGCACCTAACTAAGTTGCCTAGGCTGGCTTCAAATTTATAACCTTGCCTCCACTTCACAAGTGTCTGGGATCATGGGCAAGCACTCCCCAGCTCACTCTTGTCTTTCTCCTGTGACTATTATAGGCCTCAGTTTCCAGGCTTGAGTTTTTGAGCAATTAGATCTTATTCTTAACCAGAACAGTATGGCTTAATCAGATGTTATGTGTATGGGGCTATGCATATAATGCATTTAAAAAGGCTTTCATGCTATCGGAAAGTGATGGAATCCACTGTGTTGTGCGCAAAAGTGTTCTTGCAGGTGCTTTCAGGGGCCATAATATACATAAATGGGGGCCACTTTCAGCCCAATAAGGAATACAGTGGTAATCCCAGCACTCTGAGAGCTGAAGCAGGAGGATAAAGATTCAAGCCCAGCCTGGACAACATAGCCAAGATACTGTTTTTTGTTTTTTGGATTTTTTTATTTTTTATTTTTGCAAAACCAGGGATTGAATTTGGGCCATTGCACTTGTAAGGGAAACACTTATTCTACTGAGCTATTTCCCCAGCCCCCCAAGACCCTGTTTTAAAAAGGATTTTTTTTTTTTTTTTTTTTTTTTTTTCAGGAACTAGGTTCAATCTCTAGATAGGGTTTAA